AGTTTTCACATGGCACAGTTTCTCTGCCTCTACTGCCAGTCTCTGAGGAGAAGGGAAAGCCAGGTAGACGAGACAGCAGATGGGGGAAAAACAGAGCACCATCTACCAAAGCAACACCTCTCATGACAGCAGGGAGCTGCCGGTGGAATTTTCTGCCAAGCTGCTGTTAAAAGCTGAAGAACCAAAATGTGTCTCCAACAGATAAAATAGTTAAAACAAAGATCATCTAGGTTTGTGGTGAGTATATGTAAAGACAGCTAGAACTTCTGGTCAGTATCTCTGAGTTGACATGGAAATCTCCTTTCCTACCTCAAACACGTAGAAATGCTGGACAAACTATAACACAACTACACACACACACACACACACACACACACACTCTGCCCCAGTGTCAAAAATAAAGATGGAACCTAAAGTCAGAGCAGTCAGAGAGAGCTGAAGAAAAAGGACTTGAGGAAAACTGGGACCCAGAATAGGTCTGCATAGCGGTGGCCGGGCCTTTAACATTTGTCATGGGACCTGTGCTCACAGGAGCTGGAATCAAGCTACTTAAAAATAGCACAAACTCACATAGGACCTGTCCAGACACAAAATCAGGACTAGATACACCATAATCACTCTCTGCAAAAGTTCCAGGGAGACCAGAGAAGAAAAGGGATCAAGTGCAGAACCTCAGACCAGTGCTGTGCACTAGCCCTAAATCAGATGCACTCTAGGCTCACAGCATAGTGTTCCAAGTCTAGAAACTGATACGAAAATTATTCCCAGGCCAAAGGGTAAAGTGCATATGACCCTCAACAGAGACACACATAAGAGCCACCTGTAGAGATGCTCTTGCTACCAGGTCACAGTTCATGAAGAGAAGCATAATTCATAAGAAACAGTTTGATAACCTTGATTACTTGATCATTTTAAATTTCCGTGACACTATAGATACTATAGGCAAAATTAAAAGGCAAATAACCAATGGGTGAAAATATATGCAATCCATATAGCTATAAAAAGAAATAGAATCTAGAATTTATAAAGAGCTTTTACATATTAATTTTAAAAATGGATTTTAAAAATATGAATAAGTGAGTTACAGAGAAAGAAAACTCTCCAGTAAACATGAAAGATTTTCAACCTCACAAATGATCATGGAAATACAAATTAAAATATTGATAAGATACTTTCCAAATTTACCGGATTGACAAAAGTCAAAAAGCAAAGTTGTAGTATTTTATAAACCACCCCCCAAAATCTTATAAAGTTGAAAGTATATGAATCTACAACATAGTTATCCCCCTTCTAGGTGCACCCTAGTGAAAGCCTGAATACATGCATCAGTACAAGCTGGCTGCTGCAGCACCGCCTATAAGAACAAAACATTGGAAACTTAAATATCAACCACCAAAGAGAATGGATAAACACTAGCTCACTTCTACTATGGAACACTGTAGCAATTAAAAGGCTGGGCGCGGTGGTTCACGCCTGTTATCCCAGCACTTTGGGAAGCTGAGGTAGGCAGATCATCTGAGGTTGGGAGTTCGAGACCAGACTGACCAACATGGTGAATCCCCGTCTCTACTAAAAACACAAAAATTAGCCAGGTATAGTGGCAGGCGCCTCAAATCCCAGCTACTCAGGAGGCTGAGGCAACAGAATCTCTTGAATCCTGGAGGCAGAAGTTGCAGTGAGCCGAGATCACACCATTGTACTCCAGCCTGGGTGACAGAGCGAGACACCATCTCAAAAAAAAAAAAAAAAAAAAAAAAAAAAAAGGAGTGAACTAGGCCTATGTGTATTACTAACACAGGTATTTTTTTTTTTATTATTATACTTTAAGTTCTGGGATACATGTGCAGGACCTGCAGGTTTGTTACATAGGCATACACGTGCCATGGTGGTTTGCTGCACCCATCAACCCCTCATCTAGGTTTTAAGCCCTGCATGCATTAGGTATTTGTCCTAATGCTCTCCCTCCCCTTGTCCCCCACCCCCTGAAACACAGACATATTTTTAAAACACTGCAGAATGACACAGCATGATAGTGTTCATGAAAAAATTAAAGTCACAAATTACATGTCAAAATATCTTAAAATCTATATATGGCCTGGAAAGATAGAAGTAAAATTCCTGATCATGATTGTCTCTGTGTAGGAAAGAAGGGAAATGGTACTGAGGAAGGTCTCAAAAGAGGATTTCAACTTTATCTGTAATATTCTCTCCTTTATTTAAATTTTAAAACTCTGAAACAAAATGAAAAATGTTAACATTTTAATGCTAGCCAATGTGTGCTAATGTCTATAACATATCAATCTCTACTTTAAAAATAATTTTCTAAATGAAAAAGTATTTTTAAAATAAAATAAGTCATATGCCTTGGTCCTACACAATTGCTAGGGTTTGACCACAAATTTGGCTTAGTTTCCCAAAACATTGTAATGTCCTCTATACTCTATATAAATAGGACAACAAATTTGATAGGGCACTTCTTACAATATCTTTTATTATAAAGGGCAGGACACTTTATACATGTAACATCCTGCATGAAGCTTAGCAAAATGCAACTAGGGACGAAAAAATGCATTCTAGGCATGGAGGTTTTCATGTTTTTTCAACATGTGCTACTTTAATGCTCATAGGTATAGATCTCATCTTGCATTCTAAGATGAGGAGAGGATATTTAATTTACACACATAACTAATGATACTGAAATTCTCCTCAGCCTTCATCTTTTCAGGCCTAAGTGTCCTTGTTTTAAGCTGCATTTAGGTTAGCCCTTTGGGTGCCTCAGCCATTAAAACAGCTTAATTCTTCCTTCCGTTACTCTGTTCGGTTTTTGTTGTAGTGTTTATGAGGCAATTGTCAGCCCCATCTGCAAGCTTAGGAAGCTCTCTCATCTTTTAAATGCCTTTCTCTCACTTCCAGAAATCTTACAAACTAGTGATGTCTCCCCATCCTCTCCTGTGTAGCCATGCCAGTTCCTCAACCCAAACTGAACTCGCACAATTAATTGTACCAACTCCATTCTCAGTACTTGAGTTATTTGATTTAAATGGCTTTACCTGTCTTTGTAAACCCCCAGTAAATGAAACTGTTTCCAAATCTCTTCATATGACATTTAAATTGACACCGCATGCAAACAAGTGCCTACAAATATAATACCTTTTGTGGTCATGCTAATTCGCAGTGAGAAAATGCTTCGAGGGCCCAGGTAGAGGGATATGCTTTTCACATGCTGTACTTCCATATCAGTAAATAACTGGTAAGTTCCCCCACTCCAGAGATACATAGCTCATTTACAGTATTTGAAACATGATCAATACTTATGAGTTTTGGAGGTACATGTAATTATTCCCTTTAATCATCAACTCTCTTGATAGGGACTTGATAAAACCACCCTATTTACTTCCTTAGAAGCAGAAATCAAATTCATTTTTGAAATAAAATAAGCACTGTGAGGTCTATCTTCTTAGCAGCTGACTTTGTCAAATGATCATATAACTTCTATGTATGCTGTTTTCCACACATGCTGCCTCTACACCAATTTGCTGATTTAAAGTCACAAAACAAATCAATAACAATGACAACCAAAGTCTAATAAAATGTGGAAAAACTGGCTTATAGCTTTAAGATACAGAGTTCCTTTACCCCTACATATTCAACTTGGAAGGAACAACTTCTAGGCATGAGCTTCTTTGACTTAGTTGGTTCACATAGTGCAAAATGTCAACTATGTTCACAAAAAGGAAAAGTTTGTCCACCAATGACCATAAATTAATTAGTCATTCTTAGCACTGTAAGCAGCTTTTCCAAAGAAAAGAGTTTTTTACACCATATAGATCAAATCAAAACATGTGTGTAGGTTAAGGCCATTTCCTTTTACTCTGCTGATCACAAATTAATTGCCTTTTTGAGAATTATTTCTACAGAGGCTAGCCACTCCATTTAAAGAATGGTTAATATATCTGATTAAATGTGTAACAAAAATATTTTTATGGCAAATTTCATAATTTTTGTTGTGGGAAAAAACATAAATGCCTAAATAAGTATCTCATATATATATTTAGGCCGGGCGCGGTGGCTCACGCCTGTAATCCCAGCACTTTGGGAGGCCGAGGCGGGCGGATCACAAGGTTAGGAGATCGAGACCATGGTGAAACCCCGTCTCTACTAAAAATAGAAAAAATTAGCCGGGCGCAGTGGCGGGCGCCTGTAGTCCCAGCTCCTCGGGAGGCTGAGGCAGGAGAATGGCGTGAACCCGGGAGGCGGAGCTTGCAGTGAGCCGAGATTGCGCCACTGCACTCCAGCCTGGGCGACAGAGCGAGACTCCGTCTCAAAAAACAAAAAAACAAAAAACAAACAAAAAAAAGTATCTCATATATATATTTAAAACAAAAACAACCCTTAAGTGTATTCTATCTTCCATGGAGAACCAACAATCATTTCTTTTGGTGTATAGTTTTAAGATTATGCAACAAATATTTACTCAAAAGAGGAATGAGGAATTTGTGTTAGTACTCGAGGAACAAAACCATCTAATACATAGCCAAGAAGTAAACTCTTTAAAGGGCATTTTGACTTTCCATGAATTGCACTGCCTCTAGTATAATATATTCTACCAACAAGGATGTTTTTGGCAATTATTTACCACATTGCCATCAACCAAGACACTATCTCAGCACCCTCTCATTTTTTGCCACATCCCTATTTATTACAGGATTTAACAACCTTCACAAACCTTGTTTTTTTGTTGTTGTTGTTTTGTTTTTTAACCTACAGCACCTCTTCTAATCACAGGTACCTGTGCTCACACAAATCAACAAAGTGGGTTCTCCTCCATGTCAACAAATCTTTGAAGCTCAAACTTTTCATTAGAAGCAACATTCCACTAGATCTTTACGAATGTTCTCAGAACTGCTTATGAGAATTTCATGCCAAACATCAAGACCAAAAAACTCAATCAGACCAGTAAGCATTCATTCACACATTCATATTGACAATAGATTTTATACTTTTTTTTTCTTCTCTGCCCTTTGCAACAATTCCTTCTTCTTCCACAATTTCTCTTTCTCCTCTTCCTTTTCTCTTCTTCTGGTAGAAACTTCCATTTCCAGTCTTGCTACCTCTTCCTGGTGGGCTCGCCATTGAAGAACCTGAAATAAATAGAAAAACTTCATTCCAGTAACTATGCACACTGAAGTTATTTCACAGGTCATAATAAGACTAGGCTCTATATAAAGCAGATGTCAATTTTTTTTTCCAAATAAATATTTAAATTCTATGTGCACATGACTGTGTGACATATCTGTGAAACGTGTGTGTGTGTGGGTTAAAAGGAAAAAGCAACTTTAAAATCATGTCAGTCAGGATTCTTCACCTGGATTCATGGAGTGGGGTTCCTAAAGAATCTATGATTTAACTCCAAAGAATCTGTATAGTCCCACAAATAGCAAGTAAAAATTTCTGGTTTTGCCCATTTTTTTTTTCCAGATGTTAAACAACTTTCAAAAATTCTCAATCCTAAAATGCTTAAAAGTTTAAGAATCTCTGCTATATTTCAGCTTTCTTGTTTTATAAGAATGAAAAGCAGGCCTGAGTTAAGATGAAAAACCACTGTAAGACACTTAGAACAACTTTCTGGGTACCGGTATGTGTTATTGGTAAAAGTATACTTGCTACAGCCTTTCTGTTGGGTATTAGGTTATATGTAAATATGTGTCACAATATAAAAAAATGCATAGCCTTGATCCACAACCCTATTTCCAGAATATTATTTAAAGAAGACAATTAACTGGACAAGTGCACAAAAATGTACCCACAGGAGTGTGCACTACAGTGCTTTTTAAAACAGAAAAATCGAAAAAGTCTAAAGTCTGGCAAGGAGATGGCTTAAATCAATTATGGTACTTTTATACAATGACTGCCATTGAAAGAGGATGCCATAACTCCATACTCATTGAAATAGAAAATATCCACAATATATTATTAGATGCAGAAAAGCAGATACAAAGCCACATTTGCAGTATGATCTCATTAATGTAAAATATCAACTATGTATCTATGCATAGAAAGAGATTTGGAAGGGGACTTACCAAATAACAATATTGGTTATCTCTGAATAGAATCATTTCCTGGGATTTAAAAAAATTATTCTTTAAACCTTTCTGTGCTGGGTGACATTTTTTCAATAAGTATTTATTATCCTTGTAAGCAGGAAACCAATGAAACTAATGAAATAAAAACATAATACTTATCTGATCCATGTATATATCTGGCTAAGGAAGCAGACAGCAGGGAAATGTAGAGGTATGCAAAATTCTTTTTATATTAGCATTCCCAATTAAATACTTCATTTCTTACACATTTCATGTAAGCATCATTTATTAATGGTAACATATATGATGAAAATTAAATAAAATAATGTCATACAAATACAATTAAAGTGAGTCTAAACAATTAAGTTCATTTTGCAAAATTTTCATTTTCTAAAGTAATATTTTGCCTTGTTTATCAAAATAACCCAGGAAATTTCTACTCCTAGTTTTTAAACATCATTCAGTTTAGTCCACTTACTGCTTATCCTGTCCATCATATTGACCTTTTTCTTGGGAACCCCATTCCTAGAATACATCATCCCTGCTTCTGTCCTGACCTGCTTTCAAACCTTTCCTTTCTGTAATTTATCTTCCATCTTTCACTTGCTACAATTAAAATCAGTGTTCTGTCATCCCATCAAATATTACTAGTGATCTCCACCTGAAATGCCCAAAAGATAGTTCTCTGTTCTCCATTCCTTGACCTCATGGTGATAGTTGACCCTGTTGACTATTGCTTCATGCTTAAAACTCTTTCCTGCCCCAGGTCATGACATTTCTCTCCTCTGTTTCTCTACCAATAGATACTGCTCTCTTCTTCCTGTTTCCTGTGTCTGCCTTATAATCCCAACCCTACATTACCCTCTCATTAACCTCCAACCTCTCTATCTATGTTCATTATCTGATGTGCTCATCCTCTTCTAGGAGTTCATTCTATGTTTCTGGCCACAAAATTTATATTATCCGCTCTATCTTTTTGTCTGCAATTCAATCCTATATTAACAAATTCTTTAAGACTTAGCTATTTGTATGTGCACTTAAAATCCAACATTTCCAAAATTAAATTCAACATCTTTAACTTTGCCACAGCTTCACATCAAACCCTGTGCACCTGCTTCTCCTTTCCAAATATCCTGGTTTGGTCTGTGGAACCACAAGTCACCATGTAGTTTGGATTTTTTTATTACTATGTATACACATCAACATGACTGTCTCTTTACATTTTATATCTGACTTGGAAGCTCATAAATTTCTTAAGCTCAGATGAATTTTTATTTATGACAAACTAATTTCCAAACCATTGAGCTTGGTTGTAGTTCCCTAGTCCATCCAAAGTATTTCTGCCAAAAGTGTTTAGAACAAGATCAGAAAGTTCAAAAGGATGATGTCAACTGATCAATATAGAATCTAAATAATTTAGTTTTCTCACTACCAACAAATGCCCCCCTTTGATGTTGCTAATACATAATCTCTAAGTAGTGTTCTTCCTCTGCCTTCCCTTATATGGCCATTCCTATTCTTAGCTCATGGAGTGACTCAAAGCACCCCCTGCTTGCAATTCCCTCAGATTTCCCCTTCTTCATAAAATACTCATGGTCCACATCTTCCTTGAAACATTCTACTGCCCATGCTTATCTCTCTTGTCTTATTTCACTGACCATACCATAACTGCTCTCTGAGTATGTTGGATATATTGTTGGTTTCCACTTAGAGCACAGTCCATGCATTTGCCTTCCCCTTATACTGCCTAGCAGAGTACTGGTGCATCATAGGTGCTCAATAATTAACTTTTATTCAATCCATCAAAATGAATATTTTAAATGAAGCCGGATAAGTAAGAAAAAATGTTAGTATTAGAATATACCACTTTGCAACAACTGCTGTAATAATGGATCCTAGTTAATGATCATCAATGGCTGCTAAAAACTTCATATTAACAATTAATGGAAAACTTTATAATGAATGGATCAAGCTGGAAACAAACACATGGAATAATCTTAACATCACAGAGAAACAAGCAGACATTGTTCCTTCTTATGGAAGCATACAGCATTCCCATGAATTATTTTCGCCAAAAAATAAAATAGAATCTGATCAAAGCCCTAGACCTACCTATCAGGTTACAGGAAATTCAGCCAACAGAGAAACACATTATGCAATAGTATGTCGGAACACAATCCACAAAATTAAAATTTGTGAACACTCAAAGAACTTTAACAAATTACAAGGAAAAAATGAGGGAAGAACTATGAATTGAAAGAGATTTAATAAACATATTAGCCAAATACAATACGTGGTTTATATTTGGATTCTGATGTAAATAAACCAATGTAAAAAGAAATTATGAGATAATTAGAGCTATTTCAATACTGATTAGTTAGCTGATGCTATTGGTTAGTTGATGCTATTAAGGAAATATTGTTAAAGTTTTTAGGTATGATAATAGTATGGTTATGTTTTATAACTTTAGAGATATAGACTTTAATTTTAAAGCTAGATACTTAATACCAACAGATTACATGGTGCTTGTGATTCTTACTATTATTTCAAGGGGCGGGAGGGAGTAGGTAAGAATATAGATAAAACAAATGTGACTAATGAATGGATAATGGTTGAAGTCAGGTGATGATAGACTTTTATATGTTTTAAAAATTTTCCATACTAAAAAAGTATTGAAAAACAAAATAAACTGTAAAATATAATGCATATGCAAAGAGATTTATATAACAACATACTGTAGTCTCAAGGTTCTGAGGCAGGGCCGAGACGGGTGGATCATGAGCTCAAGAGATTGAGACCATCCTGGCTAACACGGTGAAACCCTGTCTCTACTAAAAAATACAAAAAACTAGCCAGGCGAGGTGGCGGGCGCCTGTAGTCCCAGCTACTCGGGAAGCTGAGGCAGGACAATGGCGTAAACCCGGGAGGTGGAGCTTGCAGTGAGCTGAGATCCAGCCTGGGCGACAGAGCGAGATTCTGTCTCAAAAAATAAATAAATAAATAAATAAAAAAGGTTCTGAGGCAGTAGAAAGGAAGTTTTGTAATACACTGAAATAGTGAAAAGAAAAATTCAGCCTTTCTGAGCACTGACACTATTTTTATAAATTTTAATGGAAATAAGTTAGGACTTTAGAACTACTCTTCTCATTTTTTTATTTAAAACTAATGGGAACCATCATTGAATGACCTTTGCATATTATATGATGTCCTATGATTTAAAGAAGCAAAAGCATAAATCAAAATCTATAAATGAAAAAGATTTCTGTTTCCTAAGGCAAGTATAGCAAGAGAATAACCAGACCAATCAAACTGGTATAACCAGTTTACTCACCAATTTATTTAATTTACCATTCCCTGTCTTTGGCAAGTCTAAATGATGCTTCTTTACTCCAAAAAAAAAAAAAAAAAGTGATAAAGTTATGTTGATTTTTAAACAGTGATGTACACACCAGAAAATCCTGAAACAGCTGCAAATTCAACAACCAAAAGTCAATAGTTTGTAGATCTTAAGTAATATAAGAAAAAAAGAAAAGAAATGCTGTTAAAAAAAAAAAAACAGAAAAAACCCTAGAGCAAAGCTTCAGCCTTCAGAAACTAAATTGCTTCTACTTAATATTGGAATAATGAGGATGATCAGGAACTCATAGAATTTTACCGGAAGTCAATAATTCACAGCATTATTTCTAATTATAATGCTACCAGGAAAAAAAGGGGGGGTAAAGGAAAGAAGGTTGTCGGAAGCTAGAGTGGTGAGATCTTGACAATGAGAAACAAGCTCAGCAGCAATTGCTACATAAGCAATAAGGCAAAACAGCTTTTCAGAATGCACACTGGATAAGATGAAGAATCTGGTGGCCATTGAAATAATCCTTATCCAATGGATCCTCACAGAGATAGTCAAGGGATGTGAATGGCTCCCATGTGGAGAGAATGACAAACAATTATGGTATTTTCAAGACGCCTAAGGATAAGAAAGCTGGCAGGTGGGCAAAGGAATCAATACTAGTACAATAGACTAAAGCACAGAAGACTCTGAGTGAACAGCGAGCAAAAGGAAG